TTGGTATTTATGTATTTCTATTTATGTATTTTGATTTCAGATTTGTATGATTTCGGTTTGTATGTTTGTGGCTCTACATTTTGGTTTTGAAATAGGTTTCTAGATAAATACCAATCACCAGGAAGCAAGGCTAATCTTTTGGTCAGTTTACCAAGGCTAATCTTTTTTAATATACTCCAGGAAGCAACTGAATTAGCTATATACATACCAATCACCTTTCCAGATTATTTCTAGATAAATTATAATTCCAATATTCAAAAATCATCCCATAAGAATGTCTACTCCTACAGTATTAACTCAATTACTCATCCCTAGCAAACTCTAAGATCCTGAAAATACAGAGAGTTTGTTTACTGTTTAAGTGGAAACCCCCAAGCTCACAATCCTTCAGAGAGTCTAGCAGCAATGTTACATTGTTGTAGATTGACAATTGACAGCATCACAATCCTTAGATGTTAGATGTTAAGAGGAGGAGGACAAGACATGAGGTTCTCCTTTTACGGTTTTGGGATCAGCATCTTTTCTTTTCTTTTCTCCCGGAAAGAATGCCACAACTGAGTGACTGACTGTACAAAGCCCACTTTCATAACTGGCTGAATTGAGAGTATAGAAATAATGTTTGAAAACTAGGAAAAAAAAGACTTCACCAACAAAATGCTCCAATTCAAACACTCTGAAACTTGCTTATTACATTCTCATCCTGCAAAAGAGAAGCTTATTGAAAAAAATAAATAAAGAGAACTAAAACTTGATAGAGCTTAGCAATATGCGGATCGGAAAAGAAAAAAAAGGAGTTTAGCAATATCAGTAATTTAGTGGGAAAATTCATGTTGCTCAAACCTGTTAATCCACGCATTTTATACACAGGACCATTGGTTAAATTCAATGGTTAAAACTCAACCTATCAACTCGAGGTGGTGAGTTTGAATATGAGGACAACCACTTTATGCATATCATGTCAAAGTTTAGGTCTACACCCAATCTACCCTTGACCCTCATCCAACAGAGGATTAAATTGAATGTACTTTTTGGGCAATCCACACAGTTAAAGCAAGGGAAAAAACTGAAATCAATATTTTGTCATTATGCAAATATGTGAAGGCCAAATCCACCCCACAAATGCTATTGCGAAATTAAAGATGCCCTCTCTGCCTGGCCTCATTTTGGTCACTAAAACAATATCTATCATGTATCCTATTGTACCCTTGCTTATATTTTTGCCCATTGCAATCTCTACATATTATCTTTTCTCCTACAGGTATTTGTTGCATTACTCATTTAGATGATCCCAAAATCGTTCTTTTTTTTTTTTAATTGGCACTGGAGTGTCCAAATCAAAGTCCAACTAATCTCCAGGGGTGCACTAGCCCTTAGCAAGGAGTTTCCCGCAAGTGCACCACGGTTAATTCAAAGTTTTTTTTTTCCCTAGTCCAATGGCTCCAAGGAATTGTTAGCACCTAATAGGTTTCAATCCCTAAACTTTGGAGGGAGCATCAAGACCCAAGACCTTGCCATCAAGCCAAACCTTTGGGTTTCAAAATTGTTCTTTAATATATTCTTCCTATCTATTTGGGGTGCATAGGCACTAATTACATTAATTATACTTTCTCCATTACAAGTTTAATTAGCATTATTATGTCTCCTATTTTTGTGACTGTAACTACCTCATCCTTGAGATGTTTAGATTTAAATACAATTATTCTCACATTATTTCTATATTTATATTTATCTTTACCATTACAATAAATTTTATACCCAGTATTTCCTTTGCTTTTTCACCTCTCTGTTTAGTTTCTTGTAAACATGCTATATTAATTTTCCTTCTTATCATAGTATCTACTAATACCAGTCTTACTTGTTAGTGTACAAATATACCAAGTTGCTAATTTAAACCAACAACTCTGGTCTAACTTCTTTACCCACGGTCGTCTAGGAAAGTGCAGGGACCCTTCCCAATTTTTCATTGCACCTGATCACCGACGCAATGCCCCTTGCCCATTTTTCCGTAGTGCCTGAAAGCAGGTGCAGCTCATTGCTTACAGAGAATGCCCCTATCCCTAATGCAGGAACACCGTAGCCCTTACAAACATGAAATCTATCCTTAGAAGCCTAAGCCAGGGCCCATTACTTAGAGAACAAGAAACAAAATATTAAATGAAATAATTGCTCTCTTAATCCAAGAGATCAACAGTTGTCTCCATATTTAAAGCGGGAAAAGATGTCTTTCTGGTTGAAGAAGAAATTGGAGAGAGAGAGAGAGAGAGAGAGAGGGGTAGGACCATATTCTTCTGCAGTTTCAGATAATCAAAGATTATTAGAAATATGTATGCAATATGACACAACAGACTCCAAATTCTGAAAATCTTTACTCTGAAATATGGAGTGGAATTCTTGAAATTGACATGAATAACTGTTTTCAAAGAAAGTATCATTGGCTTGATTTTTACTTGATCCTCAATTTGAAATGGGCATCCATATTCCATCAAAACAAAGTCAGCCAATACTACCATGCTTAACTACACAAACTCTAACTAAAATATTTATCCTAACCATCAAGCTGTGCCAGAAACAAACATGAATAACCCTTCCAGCACCAAAATGGAACTCAATTTCTGTACAACAGAATGACCACATCATGTTATCAAAGCAAAATTCCATATTGTTTGCCTGTGATGTTTACTAGTGTTACTTTTGACACAAGTTTCTAGGAGTAAAAATAAAACAACTATGATTAGAGTTCATAGAAATAAGAGGTTAATATCGCCAAGTTACCTTTATAACCTGAGAATATCTTCCTTCGGATGGCTTCAGTAGAAAAGCCCCGTCATCAGCAGATGTAGACCCTCCTTGACCAATGCCATGATTGCAACCCTACAAACAGATAACAAGAGTGTAATGAAAACACACATACATTATAGAAACAGTTATAGGAGAGCCTCAACCCTGAAAAAGGGCCAAAAGAACCTCAAGTTTTGTAGGTCTTGAGGATATATCACAATATGAGACTGAAATATATGAATTGCCTTAGGGTTTTAAGAAAAGTGAAACTAACACCTTTCAGTTCAGATTTTGGGGCAAAAGGTGCTAAGAACAGCTCTGGAGCAGAAATTCACAATCAAGAAAAATAATTTACAGAAAGAGAGCAAAGGAAACTCTATGCCACAAGGGCTGTTTCAGATCCCAACCCAAACTAACAGAAAAATTTCACATTCATTCCATAACCAAGAAAAACCTTTCATTCAGCAGTGATCTTATTCTACACCAAGGGCCCTCCATGTAGATTGTCTAAAACCCTAAAGACTCAAATTAGCCTTCTAAAACTCAGCCCACAATAATATGACCGAATAGAACTAAATTTAATTAAAACAATTTCTAAGGTAATAATGAGCTGGATTGCAACCCGAAAAAAAATCAGGACTCTTAAACTTTAACACTATGTTTGGATACCTAGGAAAGAAAAGAAAAGACTTTGCTAAGATTAGGATTTCTCCCCCCTACCTAGGAAAGAAAAGAAAAGACTTTGCTAAGATTAGGATTTCTCCCCCCTCTTGTTTAGTTAAGCTGGAGAGAAAAGAAAAGAAAATATTGTGATATCTCTCCAATCTTGTTTGGATAGACTACATAAAAAAAAAAAAGAAAAGAAACTCTTACAGGTCATATTACCAAAATAACCTTTTATGCTTCGTTTAGATAATAAATAAAATAAAATAAAATTTATTTAGTGTCTAGCAATAATAACAAACGATTCATTTTCCATGGATATATGTTGCAAAATAAGTTGGAACAATATAACACCCTAATGACTTATTTTTAGAAGCCTCAAGGATTTAGGGTTTCAAATATTTAAAGGGGAAGTTGCAAAGGATTTAGGGCTTCAAATATTTAAAAAAAAAAAAGAAGGATTAGTACGAATCAATTTTTGTATTTTAATAATAGAAGAACTCATAAGACGTGTTTGGACATATGTCCAACATGGGTTTGGCACGTGTATAGTGCGATAGGAGGCGTAGCCATCCTTCCTAGCACTATAGGTAACAAACATGTAAGAGCTTAACAAATGCAGTTTCAAACCTTAAGTTAGTTTTTTTGAAAAGAAAAAACGAAACAATGCTAAGTTGAAAACAAAATCATTTTTCTTTTTTGCATCATTTTAAATAACAAAAAATTGTTTCGTAGAAATGGGTTGTTTCTAGAAAATTTCTCAGAAATATTATTCAAAAACAATTCTACCAAACATATTTCTAACCTCTTTTTTTCCCCCATTTTTTCAGAACAGATGTAAACTAAATTTTTTAGAACAAGCATGTTATCTGATAATTGTTGTTAATATACAAACTGGCAGGTACAAACTCATATGATCACATTTTGTCATATAAATGATTTTTTTTTTTAAATGGCACAAAAAATAGTAAAAAGCAATAGTAATTTGAGGCGTGAGAGAAGGAAACTGTACCCCACATGAATGACCATTGCCTGGACCATCTTCAAAGAGAGAAAAGTAATATGCTGGATCATATATAGAGCCTCCTAAAACGTCATCGCAGTCAGAGGAATGTCTATTTATAGCAGGAGTTGCAGCACTTAGAAAACTATTTCTCATATCAAAATCAGTTTCTCGAGGAGCTGAACTGTCTACATATGAAACACCCAATCTGTACATCTGAACCCATAATGATGAGGACAATAACCTCACGAAGAACCCAATGATTTGCATGGATAATGTGATTTTCACTGAAAAGATAACAAAAGCCCCATACATCACAGAAGACATGTTCCTGCATACACAAATAAAGCTTTCTCAGAAACACAACCAAAAAAAAAAAAAAAAAATTGCAATAATAATCACAATACTGGGTGCAATTATTAAATAAAGACCTTTCAGTATATGCATATGCATTATCTTTAATAATTTCATGGTTAGTTAGAATCTCAACCTCTGAAGTTGCATATCAAAAAACATTTGAAATGTTTGCATGCTCATTTGCATCAACCTAATAAAGCTTCCTTCAATTTCTTCTTAAACCATGGTTGGTAGTATGTTTTATTTTCTTCCATCTTTCCTATAAATTATTTAGTGGGTTCCCCCTACCTCACCCTACTAAGTGAAGACATAGTTCAATCTCTCACAAAACTTCCTTTGTAGACCAGAAAAATCTCAGGCATATATTTCACCAGTTTCTATAACCTATGAAGCATAGACAAGGACATGGGACATGGATACGACACGACATGGATACGTCTACATGAAAAATTCCAAAAAAGTAGGACACAGACACGGTTCAAACACACCAAAAATAATTATATCTTGTAATGTAGTTATCTATGTGCATAACATAATATTTACAAAATTAAATAATTTCTTTATACAATGCAAATATTGTATCTAATTCTCTTGCATAAACTTTTAGACTATAGCAAACATATATAACTGAGACATTTGCCTCATCCTTCTTAGACATCAACTAATACATTTACATATTTTATTTTATCATTTTTCATTTAATTTTATGTGAATCTTATACAAAATTATTCTTAATCATTATACATTTTTTGGGGATATAAGATATTTATGTCAAATTCTTAAACTTTGAGAATCATATATTAGCAAATGTCCAGTAAGTGTTGGCCTCGTTTTTATTTTATAGTGATAAACATGGCCAAGAAGTGACGGACACGTTGCAAAAATGAGTGTCAAACACGTGTCCAAAATTAAGATTTTTTACATGGAAAAAGAGTATCGAACATGTGTCCATGAGTGTCTGAGGAATGTTGACATTCGACATGTGTCCGACACAGACATGTCACCTTTTTAGAAGTGTAGTGCCTGAGGAATGTTGACGTTCGATATGTGTCCAACACAGACATATCACCTTCTTTAAAGTGTCCTTACTTCTTAAATTTATAACAACATCCACGAGACTTAAAATGGGATTTTAGGGGCATCTTCATCATATCAACATTATTAGAACATCAATTGTAAGAACATATCTTGAAGTCCTTAATTATGCTTTGAGTCAAAACAGAACAACTAGGAAAGGCAACACAATGGTGATTGTTAAAAAACAATTTTTATCATAATTGTAATAATAATTTATTGATGAAATTTTATGGGAAAATACCAAAATCTCACTAAGATTTTCTTCAATTTGAAAAATTCTAGGAAAGAGTAGTCTTTCATCCACTCAATGCAAAAATGTAACTTGCAATCCAAAAGGTCCAACATCAGTAGTGTGTTTTTGGCAAGTCCAAATGTCAAGCCTTGGTTAAGATTTGAGAAACAAAATAATTCCTTACATGAAATTGTTGCACACAAACATGAGCAAGAGTGTTTCTATGAACTATATCATCCCATGCAAGGATTGATCGCCACACAGCATGTCCTTTTATTTAATTAATTGTATTTAGGAGACGCGTCAAAAAAAAAAAAAAAGTGAAAATTCATTTATTTTTTTAATATTGAATTAGTGTTAATCTACATATTAGCAAAATAACAAATATATAAAAAAATAATTTTTTTATTGTCATGTTTTTAGAAATCACCGTGTCTATGTCCACGTCTGTGGTCGTGCTTCTTAGCCCTCAAATTTATAGGAGTTCGCATCCTTCATAACTATAGGGGTTTGCACCCCCAATAAACTATATGATAAGATTTTAAAATTAGTTTTCTAATTGAGTTTTATCAAATATTAGCCCCCAATTGTGTTTTTTTTTTTTTTTTTTTGTTTTGGGACCTTTTCTATTTAATATGTGTGCAATATATGTATATGTATTATATATATTTTCATGATTTGCTTCTATTCTTGTATTTAAAATAAAATACAATGATTTAACCTAAAGAGCATTTCTCTGGACCAATTTTCTCTGGACTGAAATTTCTCTGGACCAATTTTCTCTGGACTGAAATTTCTCTGGACCAATTTTCTCTGGACTGAAATTTCTCTGGACCAATTTTCTCTGGACTGAAATTTCTCTGGACCAATTTTCTCTGGACTGAAATTTCTCTGGACCAATTTTCTCTGGACTGAAATTTCTCTGGACCAAATTTCTCTGGGCCAGAATTTCTCTGGACCAATTTTCTTTGGACTGAAATTTCTCTGGACTGAAATTTCTCTGGACCAATTTTCTCTGGACTGAAATTTCTCTGGACCAATTTTCTCTGGACTGAAATTTCTCTGGACCAATTTTCTCTGGACTGAAATTTCTCTGGACCAATTTTCTCTGGACTGAAATTTCTCTGGACCAATTTTCTCTGGACTGAAATTTCTCTGGACCAATTTTCTCTGGACTGAAATTTCTCTGGACCAAATTTCTCTGGGCCAGAATTTCTCTGGACCAATTTTCTTTGGACTGAAATTTCTCTGGACTGAAATTTCTCTGGACCAATTTTCTCTGGACTGAAATTTCTCTGGACCAATTTTCTCTGGACTGAAATTTCTCTGGACCAATTTTCTCTGGACTGAAATTTCTCTGGACCAATTTTCTCTGGACTGAAATTTCTCTGGACCAATTTTCTCTGGACTGAAATTTCTCTGGACCAATTTTCTCTGGACTGAAATTTCTCTGGACCAAATTTCTCTGGGCCAGAATTTCTCTGGACCAATTTTCTTTGGACTGAAATTTCTCTGGACTGAAATTTCTCTGGACCAATTTTCTCTGGACTGAAATTTCTCTGGACCAATTTTCTCTGGACTGAAATTTCTCTGGACCAATTTTCTCTGGACTGAAATTTCTCTGGACCAATTTTCTCTGGACTGAAATTTCTCTGGACCAATTTTCTCTGGACTGAAATTTCTCTGGACCAATTTTCTCTGGACTGAAATTTCTCTGGACCAAATTTCTCTGGGCCAGAATTTCTCTGGACCAATTTTCTTTGGACTGAAATTTCTCTGGACTGAAATTTCTCTGGACCAATTTTCTCTGGACTGAAATTTCTCTGGACCAATTTTCTCTGGACTGAAATTTCTCTGGACCAATTTTCTCTGGACTGAAATTTCTCTGGACCAATTTTCTCTGGACTGAAATTTCTCTGGACCAATTTTCTCTGGACTGAAATTTCTCTGGACCAATTTTCTCTGGACTGAAATTTCTCTGGACCAAATTTCTCTGGGCCAGAATTTCTCTGGACCAATTTTCTTTGGACTGAAATTTCTCTGGACTGAAATTTCTCTGGACCAATTTTCTCTGGACTGAAATTTCTCTGGACCAATTTTCTCTGGACTGAAATTTCTCTGGACCAATTTTCTCTGGACTGAAATTTCTCTGGACCAATTTTCTCTGGACTGAAATTTCTCTGGACCAATTTTCTCTGGACTGAAATTTCTCTGGACCAATTTTCTCTGGACTGAAATTTCTCTGGACCAAATTTCTCTGGGCCAGAATTTCTCTGGACCAATTTTCTTTGGACTGAAATTTCTCTGGACTGAAATTTCTCTGGACCAATTTTCTCTGGACTGAAATTTCTCTGGACCAATTTTCTCTGGACTGAAATTTCTCTGGACCAATTTTCTCTGGACTGAAATTTCTCTGGACCAATTTTCTCTGGACTGAAATTTCTCTGGACCAATTTTCTCTGGACTGAAATTTCTCTGGACCAATTTTCTCTGGACTGAAATTTCTCTGGACCAAATTTCTCTGGGCCAGAATTTCTCTGGACCAATTTTCTTTGGACTGAAATTTCTCTGGACTGAAATTTCTCTGGACCAATTTTCTCTGGACTGAAATTTCTCTGGACCAATTTTCTCTGGACTGAAATTTCTCTGGACCAATTTTCTCTGGACTGAAATTTCTCTGGACCAATTTTCTCTGGACTGAAATTTCTCTGGACCAATTTTCTCTGGACTGAAATTTCTCTGGACCAATTTTCTCTGGACTGAAATTTCTCTGGACCAAATTTCTCTGGGCCAGAATTTCTCTGGACCAATTTTCTTTGGACTGAAATTTCTCTGGACTGAAATTTCTCTGGACCAATTTTCTCTGGACTGAAATTTCTCTGGACCAATTTTCTCTGGACTGAAATTTCTCTGGACCAATTTTCTCTGGACTGAAATTTCTCTGGACCAATTTTCTCTGGACTGAAATTTCTCTGGACCAATTTTCTCTGGACTGAAATTTCTCTGGACCAATTTTCTCTGGACTGAAATTTCTCTGGACCAAATTTCTCTGGGCCAGAATTTCTCTGGACCAATTTTCTTTGGACTGAAATTTCTCTGGACTGAAATTTCTCTGGACCAATTTTCTCTGGACTGAAATTTCTCTGGACCAATTTTCTCTGGACTGAAATTTCTCTGGACCAATTTTCTCTGGACTGAAATTTCTCTGGACCAATTTTCTCTGGACTGAAATTTCTCTGGACCAATTTTCTCTGGACTGAAATTTCTCTGGACCAATTTTCTCTGGACTGAAATTTCTCTGGACCAAATTTCTCTGGGCCAGAATTTCTCTGGACCAATTTTCTTTGGACTGAAATTTCTCTGGACTGAAATTTCTCTGGACCAATTTTCTCTGGACTGAAATTTCTCTGGACCAATTTTCTCTGGACTGAAATTTCTCTGGACCAATTTTCTCTGGACTGAAATTTCTCTGGACCAATTTTCTCTGGACTGAAATTTCTCTGGACCAATTTTCTCTGGACTGAAATTTCTCTGGACCAATTTTCTCTGGACTGAAATTTCTCTGGACCAAATTTCTCTGGGCCAGAATTTCTCTGGACCAATTTTCTTTGGACTGAAATTTCTCTGGACTGAAATTTCTCTGGACCAATTTTCTCTGGACTGAAATTTCTCTGGACCAATTTTCTC